ATATATATATATATATATATATATATATATATATATAATATATATAAATATATTCACGCATGAACGCGCGCGCGCACACACGCCCCCGTGCGCGCGCGCGTGCGTGTACCGCAAGATTTATATTTAATCACGCTCAGTCAACCGCAGGAGTATCGGCATCTCTGTGTCAACACGGCTGAGTTAGCGAACACCCGAGCGTTGAGGAGGTTAAATATTTGTGATACGTGTATTGGTTGCCGAGGCGCGTACGACGGCGGCGCCGCATTCAGCTCGAACACACAACGCCGCCGCACGAGTTGCGGGCGGAGCCGGACGGAGGTTACGTAGCGCCGGTGGGCTGACCGCACCTCACAGGTGGCGTCCTCTGTCCCGCGTTCTTTCTCTGCTCGCATTGCTTCGCGATGACTTGCGATGCAGTCGTTACCCGCTTCTATTCGTATCTAGCATCTATTCTGGTATTCTATTCTATCGCGTTTTAGCATTGCTACCACGCTGAGAGGGAGGACAGGGAAGGAGAGGGTAATCGGGTATGGGTTGTACACAAAGAAGAGCGGTAGCGAGGGGAGGTGTACTGGGAAGAAGCGTGCTAGGAGATGAGAAAGAGAGAGGGAGAAGTGAGAGCAGGAGGAGAGAAAGAGAGAAGCGAGAGACGGAGAAGAGATGAGAGAAAGAGAGAAGCGAGAGACGGGAAAGAGAGGAGAGAAAAAGAGAAGCAAGAGACGGGGAAGAGAGAAGCGAGCGCGGGGTAGAGGAGATGGAGCTCGGAAGGGAAGCCATATAGTAATGCGAGGGAATATAATATAGTGGTGAAACTATTGTTATTTATTTACACTGATCTGTAAAACCTGACGCTTATTTTTTGCAGTTGTCATAGAAGAGGACGGTAAGTTGGCTAAAATCGATGCCCCTTGTGAAATGCCTATGTCATGTGTGCACGTGTGTGATGCCCGTGCCCCGAACCTAACTCATACTTCAGCTTCCATTCCTAACTACATGCATTGCGACATTCCTAGCTGATCCTGCGCTGCCAATACCGACCCGTTCCCTACCCGTCCTGTCTACGCTTCACCTCGACAATGATGATGTGTCTCCCGCAAGAACCTCATCCCTCGATGCGCGGTACGCCTGGTCGGGTGTCAATCCCTGGATACCTGGTGCGTATATACACATATGAAGCCAGAGCTTAACGCTACAGTACAGTCCCCGCATGCTGCAAGCTCTGGGGGCTGTTGTCGGAAATATCGTAATGTTAAGACTAATTTTGTTTCTGACAACGGGCCCCTGGTGCGCAACGCCAAAGTATATTGTTATGATGATAATTATAGTCATAGTCATGGTTATAGTTGTAACTATAGCTGTAGTTATTGATAATTAATTACAGTTGTAGCTATAGCTGTAGTTATAACTATAATTACAGTTGTAGTTGTAACTATAGCTGTAACTATAGCTGTAGTTGTAGCTATAGCTGTATGTTACGCACGATAGCTAGGGATCATGCGAGGTTGGTGGGGGCCCACGTTAATGCTCTAATACAATGTTACAGTAAGAGTTTCTCTTACGACAAGACCGACTGCTGCAGTAGCGTATGTCCGCGGCGTATATAACACACAGAAACATTCGTGTCAACGCACTGTAAAGCAATGTTCATTCCCGTGTGTTTGAACAGCGTAAACGACATTAGAATAATAAATAAGCTCAATCTTTATTAGAACGCGTGCGTAAAGTATACGGAGAAAATCGTAATCGTGATAGCGTTTTCCCCCGCTACAGCCGATCACATGTTGTCGCGAGCGTTTTTTTAGGACTTTCAAATTGTAATAAGGAAGGGCTGTATGCTAGCCGTTCATTCTCTTTCCCGTCGCGAGAGAAGTCGATGTATGTCGTTGCTTCGCTCGCGTGCGTGTAACCTTGTCATTGAACTTCTAGCTGACGCGTACAAAGGAGATCGTGTCGCCTGGCCGTGGCGTCTTCTCTCCGCCGTTTATTACTTTCCTGCTCATTACCGGGCGCGTGCGTGGTCGTAAGTTGGTCATGTATGTACTGACGATCCTGAGAAACATCGTCCTCGTGTATGCATATATTATAGCTATGGCATAACTGTATTAGCACTCACTTTTACAGTACGTAGTGCTGGCTTTTGCAGGTCGGTTCCAACGTCGTCGCTAAACTCGCGTTGGCTTTTGAACGCGAATTTTAACAATCGCGCGAGATTTGCGTTGCAAGACTCGGCCGCGCGGCGGCGCGAGTAGTCGCGTAGTTAGACTGTCGCCGCGTCGCCGCGGTCTCTGTAGCGACGGTCTGTGTTCGCATGCGTGCAGAGAACAGTCGCGACGAGGCGGTCATCGAGATGCAGAATTTGCAGCCGAACAGCAAGACGCATGTGGACGCGGACAAGAGCAACGATGTGAAGAAGAAGAGGTCTTGGATCAAGAAGGCGCCGCGGCAGGTAAACCGCCCCCCCCCGTGCACGCTCTCTTATTTTTTGTTATTTTTTCTTGCTACCAGAATTGTTGAATATTGGGTCGGGTGGGGTGGGAGGAAGAAATTGCCCCACGCGTGTGCTTTTCTGTCGCCAAACTTGTTGAAAATTGGTGGGAGGGAGACGGGAGGGTGGCGGGAAGGATGAGAGGTTCATGGCATGTAGTGAAGGTTCACGCGTGGCTTGTGTATAAGGATACTAGACTGGACGAAGGCGAAGTTTTCAGATGCGCAATAGTGGAATTGGATATTGGTTAGATGGAGAAAGGTGGAATTCCTTATATACAGAAAAATGGAATTCCTCTATGCACGAAAGTAGTATTCTCATATGCATGAAGCTAGAATTCTCATGTACACGAACGTGAAATTCAATTCTAACTGGTGTTCATAATGCTGAAATTCTGATACGTAGAAAGGTGGAATGTGGAATAGAAAGAATTAGTGACGATGAGGTTCAGTCTCTGATTAAATGACCTCATATATATTTATAGCCTGTCTCAGTAATAAGTTGGCCATCAAGGACGTAGGATATGTGCCGGAATATATTTGTTGTAGACTTGTAGTGGGGGCGGTCTTGATACTCACGTACCACAGACTGCGCGTGGTCGTGTCAGTGAATCGTTGTCAGCGCCATCTATCTCTCTCTCTCTCTTTCTCTCTCTCTCTCTCTCTCTCTCTCGCTCTCTCTCTCTCTCTCTCTCTCTCTCTCTCTCTCTCTCTCTCTCTCGCTCTCTCTCTCTCTCTCTCTCTCTCTCTCTCTCTCTCTCTCTCTCTCGCTCGAGAGACTCTC